TGGAGGTTCGGGCAGGAGGGTCCCTCGGAGCAGTGAAGTTGCAAAGCGAGCAGCCTCCCTGACACCCCCGGCTTTTATCATTCTGACCCCTAACCCCAAGGAGCCTGAGGCTGCGGTGGCTTTGGGGGGGTCGGCGGGGGGTGAGCTGGAAGGGCAGCCCCCTCCCCCCTCGTTCACCCCATCTCTGCCCTCTCCCTGAATGCCCTGTATTTTGTTGGCTCTGCTTTCTGGAGGTGACTGCTTAGCACATCTGTATTCAGGCCTGGAAGGTGCCAAGGAGTTCAGCAGTTTGGGGGTGAATGGGCTGGAGTTTGAGGGGCTGTGTTAAGTAAACAGGGCTCTGGGCCAGGGAAGGGGAAGGAAGCGGACGGTGAAAACAGCTTTCCAAGTCTTGACGTATATTGTGTGTTTCCCAAGACCGTTACGTCTGTTTCTTAATTTTTTTTTAAGACTTATTGATGCATACAGAACTGGGGTACAGGCCAGAAGTGTGGTGGGCGAGAGGATTCACCCGAGAAAGAGTGGGGAGCAGAACAGGCAGATCCACTGAAATGCACTGCAGAGGGGAGAAGTGGGTGGGCCAGGAGAGGTCTGCTGCGCCCTGTGAGTCATCTGCGGGGCCGGGGATCGAACTTACGGGGCCGGGGATCGAACTCATGCTGCAGTGGCTTTGGAGAGCTTCATAACACAGTGCTTTAACCTGTTGAGCCACGAGGGAGAGCCTGCTTCTTAATTTTTTTCTAAAAAAGATTTACTTCTGGATGCACACAGAACTGGGGTACAGGCCACAGGTGCAGGGACAGTGAGAGGACTCACCAGAGACAGAGCGGGGAGCAGACAGGCAGATGGATGAAGTCCACTGCGGAGGGGAGCAGCGGATGGGTCAGGAGAGGTCTGCCGCGCCCTGTGGTCACCTCCAGGCCTGGAGGCGGGGATCGAACTCTCACTGAAGCGGTTGCTGCCCCCTTGCAGTGCTGCGCTTTGCCCCCCTGAGCCACCAGGGAGGGCCAGTTTCTTGATTCTTGAAAAACAATTTGTTTTTTCTTTCTTGAACAAACATTTTATTGCTATTATTTTCATCAACAATTGACGGATGGAAAAAATTTCATGGGTGAAAATCGATTTAAAGAAAACCTTGACATGGTTGTGGGTTTTATTTACTAAAAGACAAATTTTCACCTTGTTGCTGAAATAACTAGAAAGTGAGTGCTCCCCCTCCCATTTCAGTTCTGAGGCACTTGAGTGATGAACACAGAACAGTTGGCAGACTTTGCTTCCGAGTGGTTTACATGTCTTTAAGATGAGCCTGAGAAGGGAGCGTACCCTTGACCGCCCTCACTGCCTTGTACCATTGGCTCAAGCACACAAATGCAAGTGTCGGCAGGTCTGACTGGCCAGTGGGCATGCACAGAAGCTGACGTGCTCTGAGGCTTTAGGAGGCGGCGTCAGCAGGATTATTCTCGTTTTACAAAGGAGGAAGTCACGGCACGGAGCAGTGAAATAGCATGTCCAAGCTGGGATTTGAGAAACTAAGGTTTTCCTGCCTGTTCCTGTTCTGTCTTGAGCATTTTTTAAAAAGATTTATTTATGCATACAGAATTGGGGTACAAGGGACAGTGAGAGGATTCACTGAGACAGAGTGGGGAGCACGACAGGAACACTGATGAAGCCCACTGCTGAGGGGAGCAGCAGGGAGGGAGACAGGAGGGGTCTGCCGCGCCCTGGGGGTCACCCCCTGGCCGGGGATCGAACTGGTGCTGAAGCGGCTGCCGCCAGCTTCACAGTGCTGCGCTTTAACCCGCTGCGCCACCAGGGAGGGCCCTGTTCAGAGCAGATCTTTACCTAATTCCGTCCCAGTAGGATGCTCACTCTGTCTTTCTGCATTGGTTTATCCAGTAGTAACTGTGGGGGGTGTGGAGTGGGGCTGTGCTTGAGACAGGAACCAGGTTGTAGGTCTCAGAGAAGCCGAGTGGGAAGATAAGAGCATTTGCAAAATAACTTGTCCTGCATCTTTTGCGCGGATAGGACCTGCTTCCTCTGGGAACTTTTAGCAAAAAACAAATTGAACCCTAGAAAGCCGGTCGGCCCGGACAGGAAAGCACTTCACCGCCAGGGCTGCACTTCAGCCACCTCGGTACGCGCGACGCGGGGCCAGCATCGCGAGCCTCGCCCTCTCCTGAGATGTGCTTTGGCCGCTGGCCTTCGCACTCCTCGTCTCTGGCCTTTGCGCTCGCCGAGACCAGGCGTGCGCTTCCTCTTTCAGCTCTGCCTGTCGGGGTGACCCAGGAGCGCAGAATGAGCTGGGCTTTGGAAGAATGGAAGGAAGGCCTGCCCACACGGGCGCTGCAGAAAATTCAGGAGCTCGAAGGACAGCTGGACAAGCTGAAGAAAGAAAGGCAGCAGAGGCAGTTCCAGCTCGAGACGCTGGAAGCGGCGCTGCAGACGCAGAAGCGGAAGGTGCGTCGGGCCCGCGGGTGCTGGGGTGGGACTTGGGGTAACAGGTTCCCCCCAGCCTTTGGAAGATCCCCCCCCGGCCCCTCATGGGTGCTCTGCTTGCCTCCTGCCCGTTCTGGCTAGGTGGAGAATGAGAAAACCGAGGGCATCAACTTGAAGAGGGAGAACCAGAGCTTGGTGGAGATATGCGAGAGCCTGGAGAAGGCGAAGCAGAAGATCTCTCACGACCTGCAGGTCAAGGAGTCCCAGGTGAATTTCCAGGAAGGCCAGCTCAGTGCCAGCAGGAAGCAAATCGAGAAACTGGAGCAAGAGCTCAAGAGGTAACTGTTGGGGTGGGGGGGGCGTGGCCCGCGCATCCACCAGCGGCTTTTCCTTTGCTCTCACGCTCCGCCGACGCCCCCTGCGCCCTTGCCGGCTGCGGAGCAGCGCTGCCTGAGCGGCGGCCTCCGTTCAGTCGCGCCTGGCGCCCGTGCGACTGCCCGTTCACTGCTTGCTAACGGCAGCGTAGCCCGGAGAAACGCAGGAATTACTCAAGGCCCAGGAGCACACGGCTCCGATCTGCTGGGGGAGCAGGGCGGCCCAGCGGGGTCCGCAGGGTGTCAGGGGTTTACTGTCTCACCTTCTGGGATGCGGAGACGGAGGCCAGGCTTGATTTCGGGCTTGAGTTTAGCCACGGTCACGGGGTCTTAGATAGCGGATCGCTGGGGAGAGGCTGGGCAGACCCTGTGCTGTGAAGCCCAGGCCGGAAGGGGAGAAAGTGAAGGCTGTGGGGGCCCCCGCTGACACCCTGTGTTCCATCAGCGTCACAGAGCCATCAGAGCCATGCCGCCTTTCAGCTGAAGTAGGCTTGGTTATGGGCTGCTGCGGAGATGCTTATGAAACGATAGCTCTTCCTTCCCCCTCGGTCTTCTCTCCAGCTTCTCCTCCCTGATCGGCTCCAACCTCCTTGGGGAGGGGGGCACCTGGCACCTCCCCCTTTCCGGGGGACCCCCCCCTTACAGCATTACCCCTGCCGCGATTTCAGCAGGTGCTTCAGCGGCACACATCGTCTCTGTGTTTCTGAAATCCTGGATTCTTTCCTGGCTCCGTGTCTTTCTTTGCTTCACACTGCACAGTTCGCTCAGACGTGTCCTTAACTCCCAGCTCTTCTTTCCTAACGGGGTTGACTAGAACCCTTAGAACACGGTACCATTTGATGGACATCCTTTCCTAACTTGCTTGAGCCCCTCTGAAGGTGGGGCTGAATTTGCCCGTCCTTAAGGAACTGCTTATTAAATGTCTTGAAGCATGACAGGCCGAGGGCCCTCAGGCTGACGTACTGTCTTCTGGGGAGCCGGGGTCGGAATTCTGTAGTGTTGGTCTGATGTGGCCCCTTTCTCCTAATAGGTGTAAGTCTGAACTTGAAAGAAGCCAACAGGCCGTCCACTCTGCAGATGTCTCCCTGAATCCATGCAGTACACCCCAAAAAATGTTTGCAACTCCACTGACGCCCAGTCATTATTATAGCGGTAAGGGTTTCCTGCTTGGCTCACATAGCTCTTGTGCTGAGATTTTTGTTCTGTCCACTCGTAAATTAATCCAACTTTGAACTCAGGTCCTCATTTGGGCCCCCCCAAAACGCCCTCACCTGTAAGCCAGGCACTTGGGTGTCTGTTCCGCGGCCAGGTTAAGCCTGGAGCTGCTTTTCACGTCGCCTCTGCAGTGTGTTTTAGCGCCTCAGAGTAGCTCTGTGAGTCTCAGCGCTGTGACGGCCGCGTGTCTGGTCTGCATCGGTCGCCCTACACAAAATGTTGTGTTAGCTGCGCCAACACACTTCCTTCACGACGTCAGTGACGGACGTGAAACTGTAAGTCCCTGCCTTTGTCCAGGTTCCAAATATGAAGAGCTGAAAGAAAAATATGACAAAGAAGTTGAAGAACGAAAAAGACTGGAGGCAGAAGTGAAAGTCTTGCAGGCTAAAGTAAGTTCCCGTGGGCCTCGGACCAGCACATAACACGGCAGGGGCCTGTGGGGGCGGCCGGAGTGCCACGGGGGTCTCCCACCAGAACCCATACGTTTTCCCGTTTCCTCCCCTGGGAGAATAACGGTCCTGGCTCCTGGGCGATGATGGTGCTTGGCCTTACAAACGAGTGGACTGAGTGGTAGTGGGGGCAGGTGCTTGGCCCCAGTATTCAGTGTTCGTCGAAGCCCCTCACTGTCCCGTCGTTCCCCACTGAGGCCTGTGACGCGAGCAGGCGGCGAGACGCCGGGGAGCGCCCCGATGATCAGCGGCCTTGCCCTGGTTTGCTCTGTCCTGCTCAGGGTCACGGGCTTCACAGCTGTTTTTTTTTTAAAGACTTATTTATTCATACAGAACTGGGGTACAGGCCAGAGATGCGGAGGGTGAGAGGATTCACCAGGGACAGAGTGGGGAGCAGAACAGGCAGATCAAGAATTACACTGCTGAGGGGAGCAGCGGGTGGGTCAGGCGAGGTCTGCCGCGCCATGGGGTCACCTCCAGGGCAGGCGGGGATCGAACTCATGCGGACGTGGCGTAAGCTTCTTAGTCTGTGCTTGAACCCGCTGCGCCACCAGGGAGGGCCCCACAGCTGGTTTTTAGGAGCTGTTTATTTCAGTATCATCTCCCAGTTCAGATGAGTTGTGGCAAGGCTTTAAACTCGATTTTGTTCTGGGCGAACAAGCAGAGAGGTGGAGAAAGAGAACTCAAGTCAGCCGGGCTCAAAGCTCCTCTCTAGCACTCAGTGTCGGTACCAGCTCTGCCCCGTCCTGGGTCTCCCGTCATTTGGTGGAGGAACGCGAGTCTCTGTGAAAGTTAAACCTGCCCGTGGCTATAAAAAATGTAACAGCACTAACACGCAGAGATTTGACCGAATGGAGGCAGAGAGAACACAAAGAGCAACTCAGATCAGTGGCGGATGTGCAGGCGTGTGTTCCGCCACAGTGATTTTCGGGGAGTGGCATGGCGGGACGTGAGATTCCTTGAAAGTTCTTTCTTTTGGGGTCCTATTTAGCTTCCATTTCAGGACAAAGGGAAGGCCGACCTCAGAATTCGGCATGGCCTGAATGCTCACGTGTTTCATGGAGGGTGTGAGTGGTGCAGCTGAAATACAAAAGCTGAGCCCACTTTACACAGACGCGTCCGCAGAGGGTGCACGTCTGACCTTCCAGACTGAGGTCTGGTCACTAGGAAACCCCCTGCCTGGGGGTTGGGCTCGACAGGGCTCCCGTGGGCTCGGAGAATCTCGGGCACAGTGAAGCCTTCCCTTGGCATTTTGGTTCATGCTCTGCTTGAGAGCAAATTGCCTCCGCTGTGGAGATTCCTAAGAGCTTCTGTGCTTGCAGCGAGTGAGCCAGCCGCCCCCCCAAAGCACCATGAATCACCGCGACATTGCCCGGCACCAGGCGTCCTCGACCGTGTTCTCCTGGCAGTGGGAAGACACCCCCAGCCGCCTCTCCTCCAGCGCCCTGAAAACGCCCGGCAGGAGAGAGCTCTCCGCGGCTCACGCGCCAGGGGAGGGCGAGGGGACTCCGGGCAGGTGGACTCCCCAAGCAGGCGTGAGAAATGCCGGCGGTGGCGCCTGTGATAACGCCAGCAATTCTCAGCTGCCGGATCAACTGAAGGCCCAGAATCAAGGTAACTTCCTGAGCTGATGGAGCTTAAACTTCCCCGGGGTCATCTCAGAGGGTAAATGCCACGGACTCCTGGTGGCTGGCAGGGGTGGTGTGTTCTAGTAGCGAGCAGCCTTGCCGCTGGGGGATGTGTCTGCCTGCTGAAGAGCTGGACGGGAGGTTGGGGCTCCCCATCTTCTCGGGCCCTCGAGCTTGGGGAACCGGCCTGCGGCTTGGCCCGGCCCGGCCCGGTGGAGGGGGGGGTCTGGCCCTGCGCGCCGGGCAGCCGTGAGGGAGCCAGCCTGTCGCCTTGTCTGCTGCCCCGACGGCCAAGAGAACCAGGTGGCGTCTGGATCCTCTCCGCAGACTGGTAATTTCCAGCGTGTGATGGATTGAAAACCCGCCTCTGTATGCACTGCCGAGGCCCCGCTCGTTCCCGCGCCACTGTATGCGGGGGGAGGGGAAACACGGCTGTCGGTCTTGGCGCTGTGGGCGCTCACACTGCCTTGACCTTTAGTGGAGGGCAGCTCCCAGGGAATGCGGAGGTTTAGTGTGTCCCTGCCCAGCTCTCACTGGCATCGATACGGGTGCAAAACAGATCGCAGCTTGCCGGCCGACAAACCCAGGCAGCGATCTTAACGAAGAGTGTGAGCAGCGCTGCATGTTTTTGCAGTCTCTGTAAGGTGCACGACTTCAGGAAAGCATCTTTCTCCGCAAGTTATCTGTGAAAACAGGAAAATATCTCCTGTTTCGGTAGACTGTTGGAATACAAATGACAAAAGACCGAATGTTGGCATGCAGCCTGCTTCAAGTAGCTTGCGTTTAACGTGTCTTGGTGATTTTTTTAAAAAGGTTTATTTATGCAGACAAGAGCTGGGGTGCAGGCCAGAGGGGTGGCAGGGGAGAGGGTTCTCTGGGGACAGTGGGGAGCAGAACAGGCAGATCGACTGCCTACACTGCCGAGGGGGGCAGCGGGTGAGGTAGGAGGGGTCTGATACGCCGTGTGGGTCACCCCCTGGAGGGGGGGATCGAACTCATGCTGAGGGGCTGCAGAGAGCTTCACAGTGCTGCGCTTTAACCCCTGCGCCAGCAGGGCGATGTTTGCCTCCCTGGTGGTGTTTATCTCGCCCAGCACATCAGAGCTGGTCCGGGTTTGAACGTAGTTGTGCCTGTTTTGCAAAGAGCATGCATTCATCCAAGACTGTCTTGTTTGTGGCTGAAGAGCTGAGGAGCAAGATTCACGAGCTGGAGCAACGTCTGCAAGGACAGGAAAAAGAGCTCAAAGGCCAGGGGGCCAGATTCCAAGAGCTCCGCCTCCAGCTGGAGAAAGCGACCACGGAGCTGGCTGACAAGGAGAAAGTCTTGAATAAAAGCAGGGATGAGCTGGTGAGAACCACCGCGCAGTCCGACCAGGCCTCCGCTAAGGTACGCAGCTCCTCGCATCCCCGGCCGTGCCTGGGGAAAGGCTCTGGCCGCTCCCGGGCACCTGAGTGCGGGAGCGGGCGGGCAGTTCACCGGGGAAGTTCCTGGAGTCTGTCCCGGGTCAGGTGCGGGCGGCCTTCAGCTGCGGACGGAGCGTTTGTGTCGCCGCGGCCCGAGTCGCTCTCTCCTGACCCGGTGCGGGGTTGCTCTGTGCCTTCTCTCTGGCTCAGCCCCTCGACGCCTCCTCCCTCGGGCAGTAGGGGCCGCCCGGGTCTGCCGTTAGAATCACCTATTAAATAAAACGGGGATAATTTGACCAAAATCAGCGCTGTATTCTTTAGTGGACATATGCCGTTTCTGGTTCTTTCCTTTGCCAAGTGTTTGCTGGCTGTGCGGCCCACGATTCTTGGCCTCGGGCGGAAGTGGGGCGGAGGGGGCTGGCTGCTCGCTGAGTGCAGCGGCTGAGTGCCATTCTCCCAAGGTCGGGAGCCCCGGACGCATCTTGGAAGTATTCTGGAACATTCCTGACACCTAGTGGTCGTGTTCCCCGGTTCGTCTCTTCCAGAGTGTCTGTAGGAAAAATTAAAAAAAAAAAAATTGGAGCAGCGCCCGTGGCTCTTTTTGCCAGTCTCTCAGACACCTCGCGCCGCCCCCTGCGCGACCGTGTGGCTCCTGGGAGGGCAGGGCCGTCTCCGGCTCTCTGGCCTGCGGGGCTGCCCGTCTGCGGCCGCCCCGCCCGGCACAGGGCTGGCCGCAGAGGGCTCCCGGCGCAGACTTGCTGGACACGTCCGTCTTGAGATTCCTCGGGAATCTCAAACCCCAAGTCCGTGGAGACTGACAAAGCCCCCCGCGGGCTCAGAGCGGGTTCCGGACAGCCTGTGGCTCAGTGTTTTACTTTCTGGGCTTGGCGTTTTTGATGTCTGGATAGCTGCAGATTCACTCACGCCGGGATGCTCGCTTTGCTCTCTCGCCCTGGTCGCTTCCAAGTTACCAGCCTTGGGCTGCTCGTCCTCCACGGTCTCTCGTGCTGTGTGCTTTTTCCAGGTTCTAGTACTGCTGACAGCTCTAGAGGAGACAGATCCAGGGTCAGACGTCAGAAGGGAGAGCTGCCACGCCGGGGCCCTTCTTCCTGGCCCAGAGTCCTCTTGGCCGGCCTCTGGGTCCTTCCTGTCCCCAGACGCAGGGTGGGACCCAGGGCTGGGCGGCCGGGAGACCCCGTGCCTCAGGCTGTCTCAGTGCCACTTGATCCCAAGGGTGCCCAGTTTTTTGTTTTTTGTTTTAAATAATATAATAGCTTATTTTTACACCACTTTGTGCCTTTGTCCATCTCAGCTGCAGTCCCCGTGGGCTTCCCATCGCCAAGTCACCCGTGTGCCCTCACCATAGTCCAGTGCACTCTCCCCGCCCTATTTTTGACCCCATCCCCCAGTCCACCCCCGTAAGATGACTCTGGTCTGTAGTTGTTCATTATTATTATTATTTTCTCACCTGGTCCTTTATGCTCCTGCTATGAGTGAAACTATCGGTATTTTTCCTTTTCTTTCTGGCTTATTTCACTCAGCAGGATCCCTTCCAGTTCCATCCATGTTCTGCAAAAGGCAGGTGTTTATTATCTTTTTGATGACTGCGTAATATTCCATTGTGCATCATATCACATCTTTTGAATCCAGTCATCCACTTTTGGGCATGTGGGCTGTTTCCAGGTCTTTCCTGTTGTAAATAAAGCAGCAATCAACATGGGGTTTTTTTTTTTTTTAATCCGTGTTTTTGTGTCTTTTTTTAGTCCAAGGGTGCCCAGTTTTATTGTTAAAGATTTTATTTATTTTGATTTAGAAGGACTGGAATGTAGGCCAGCAATGTGAGGGGTAAGGGGGCTCACAAACAGAGTGGGGAGCAGAACCAGCGGGCCCACTGAAACCCACTGCTGAGGGGAGCAGCAGGACACAGGAGAGGCTGCTGCGCCTGTGGTTACTCCCTGGCCGGGGATTGGACTCAGATTGCAGAGACGATGGCCTGAGACTCGCCCCTCGCCACCAGGGAGGCTCCAAACCCCCTAAATTTTGACAAGGTCCATATTTTAAGACTTATTTTAAAAATAACCGGCTATGCTAAAAGAAAAAAAAAAGGCAAAATGATATTCTTTGCTTTGCTTCTGGAACTCTGGTTAAAATCCTTGCTGATTATTTTTGAAAATTTAAGGTGTCATCGTGGCCATGCCATTCGAAGAGGTATTTCAGTACTTAAAATTGGCACCAAATTTCTATTGTGCTTGAAGCGAACCATACTTGGGGGCGGGGGGCGGGGTTCCCACATAGTCACACCCTGCACAGGAGGCCCTTGGTGTCCAGGACGCCCTCAGAGTCGCGCGCGGTGGGCTCCGGCCCCCCCACCCCCCCAGTCCCACAGCGCAGGCTGGGGGGGGGCCCGAATCCGCGGCTTTGCACTTTGGCTAATGGTTTTAAAGCAGCTGTTTGTGGAGTGGCGACATCAAAACGCACTGGCCGTCTGGACCCAGGGGCAGGCGGTGTCCGGGCCGCGGCGGCTGGCTGTTCCTCACTGTCCCGTGTGCTCTGTCGCAGTGCGCCGCCCTGGAGCAGAAGCTGAAACGGCTGACCGAAGATCTGAGCTGTCAGCGCCAGAACGCGGAGAGCGCCCGCTGCTCCCTGGAGCAGAGAAGCAAGGAGAAAGAGAAGGAGTTTCAGGAGGTGGGCGAGGGGAGCCCCCGGCCACTGGCCCCGAACGTGCCCTCCCTCTGCAGCTCCCCTGTCCCAGGGACCCCGCTCGCCCTGCGGGGCACGTGTCTGCCCCGGGTGGGGGGTGGGGGGGCGCGTTGGGGTGAGCTGCGTTGAGACCGTCAGCTCAGCTCTGTCCTCTTCTGCCCTCCCCGCCTCCCTGAGCCTTCACATCGGGGAGCTGGAGTGGTGCTGTTGGCCTGGCGGGGGGCTGCGGCTCGCCTGGGCTCTGCTGTGGTGTCTGCTCTGACGGGGCCCCTTGCTTTCCAGGAGCTGTGCCGGCAGCAGCGGGCCTTGCAGGCGCTGGAGCAGGAGGGCGCCCAGGTGAAGGCCAGGCTGACGCAGGAGCTGCAGCAAGCCAGGAGCGCCCAGGGCAGCCTGCAGGCCGAGCTGGACCGAGTGAGTGAGCCTCCCGGCCCCTCCCTGGGCTCCTCCTGTCCGCTGCCCTGTGTGGGTGCCCCCACCCACTCGTGGGGTGGAGCCAGGCAGGCGCTTGCTGGGCCTGGTCTGCTTCTTGAGAGAGCGGGGTGAGGTCTGTGAGGCCGCTGCCCCAGATGCGGCCGAGGACTGACTCACCCCAGATGCGGCCAGCTCTCGTGTGGGGGCTCCCCTGCGGCCCAGGCCCTGCCGCGGCCTCGACCTCTCCCTCGTCACACAGGTCCCGTCTCAGGGCCCAGCAGCAGCTGCTCTTCCTGCCGCTCTGGCCCCTGGGCGTCGTCGCTCGCACCGCAGAGTGTCCAGGAGGCCGCCCGTGTGTGTTTGATTTTCAGGGGCTCCTTTCCCTAGTGGGGGCGCCGGTGGCTCTCGGCCTGTGGGCTCGGGGCGTGTCCCGCTCCCCAGGGAGGTTCAGCTGCCCCTTTTGACACTTGTGCAACGCCCCACATCTCCGGGGAACAAATGTGCCGCAGAGACTCACTCTAGGTGGGCTCTCTGGCACACTCCGTCCGAGCAGGGGCTCTGGGCTCGAGTTGCTCGGTCCGCAGCGCTCCCTCCGGCCCGCCTCGCCGGCCCCTCGCGCCCGCTGGCAGGCCGCCCCGCTCTGCACTGGCGGCCGCTGGCCTCTTCACCCAGCGGCGGGGGTGAGACGCTAGATGCGTCCAGGCCGCCCGTCTCGGGTCACTGACCCGCCTGCCCTTGGGTGGGGGCCGGGCCTTCCCGCGGGGCTGCAGCACACGGCCTGGCCGGCTGTGCGCTTGCTCGCCTGAGGTGGCCACAGGGCCTCCTGCTGGCCCGGCGGGACGCGAGGCCCCTGGCGCTCCGGGGTGCCCGCCTCGCTCGCCCTCACTTTCTGGAGCTTCCCGTGCATGTGCCAGCGATGTCTTCCCGGGCACTTCGTGGTCCGCACCTCCAGTTTCCTCGCTGGGGCCCGCTGATGACAGAAGTGCCATCACGTCCGCCCCGTCGTCGCTGGCCCTGCCCTGAGGACAGAGGCCCGCGGGTGGCAGCGCGTGGAGCCGGCGCCCCGGCTCAGACGGCGCCGGGCCGCTCTGCGGCGGACTCGGCCCTTCTGCTGAAGGGTGACACTGTTTGGGGTGCACCTTGAGCCCCGAGGCGGACCGGCTAGAGGGTCAGCTGTGTTCTCAGCGCCTGCCTTTCGCCTGCTCTGTAACACGGAGGATTCCCCACCCAGGCGGGGCCTCTTATGCAGAACAGCGCTGAAACCCAAGTTGCAGGTGTGGGGGACCAGGGCTGCCGCCTCTGGGGCTCTGCCTGGGGGGTGGGGGGCTGGGGCACAGCAGCCCCGCGCCCGCCGGCCCCGCCCATCTGTCCGAGCTGGGTCGGAGGGAAAACGCCTCCTCTCCTGGGTGCACGGTGACCTCTGATGGGTAACCTCCAGGGTCTTTTACTGGCCGCGCTGCACGTTATCGGACCACGGCCCCGAGGGTGACCGTTAGGTCCTGCCCGTTGCAGTCCCCTTAACTGCTGCACCCCTAGGCTGTGTTTGGTGGGCACCTCCGCGGGAAACAATGGCCTCAGGGGTCTGGCCTGAGGTGGAGAGACGCACCAGATACAGCCAGAGGCAGCAGCCTCACCCCCGCCCGTGCACGGGCCTCTCCGCGCTTCTTCCCGGCCCAGATCTGGCTGAAAGATGCCGTCGTTGGGTGAACAGTCGCCCCGTTTTAATTCACTCCCCCTCGATTACCCTTGAGGCCCTCCTTCCGAGTTGACTTGCCACCTGCAGTTTGGCCTGAGAGTTTCTGTTCTGCTCTTTGTTCTTTTTCAGAGCTGGTTTGCCTTTTTGTAAGTGGAATCAGAGACGGGCTTTGGTACAGACACCTCATGTTTAAAAAGAATTAATTATGCACACACGAGCTGGGGGTAGGCCAGCAGTGGGGGGGGGGGGTGAGAGGACTCCCCAGAGACAGAGCGGGGAGCAGGACAGGCGGATCCACTGAAACCCAGGAGGGGTCTGCCGCGCCCTGGGGTCCCTCCCTGGCCGGGGGTGGGACTCGCGCTGCGGAGCTGCGGACCACCCCCAGCGCTGCGCTTGGCCCGCGCCACCGGCAGGCCCGCGGCTCGTCCTCCTCGCTCTGCTGCGTGTGAGGCAGGCGCACCCCACCTCCCCGTCTGCTTCTGATTTCAGTTTACTACTAATGTCGCCCCGTCGCTCATCACCCTTTAGCTGTTTCACTTTTCACGGCTGCATAGTTTTCCTTGGCCTCGTGGTTTCCTCCCCGGCCACCTCGTGCCCCATAATCTGTTGCCAGGCGAAACCATGGGCCGGCATGCGGCGTTTATGTCAAGCCCCGAGCGCCGCTGTGTCTCAGCCAGAAGAGACGGCTCCGTCTTTTCTCTTTCCTAAGAAGTAAAGAGCGATCAGCTTAAGATGAAGCGTTGTCTTCTGCCTGCAGGTCACAGCAGCAAAACACCAGCTCGAAAAGAGCTTGGACGAGTTCAAGCACAAGTTCTGCAGAGCCGAACAGGCCTTGCAGGCGAGTCAGACCCAGGAAGACGCGCTGAGGAGGAGCGTGGAGGTGAGTGGGGCGGAGGGCAGGCTCTGCCGGCGCCTGTGGCCGTGGGGGGCACCGCGCTGCTGTGCCCACACCTGGCTCTCAGCCGGGTCGGGTCTCCGCAGTTCTGGCGACTGCACAAAGCTCCCCAAAGCCAGCGTTAGGCTGACGTAGCTGGTGCTGAGACCTGCGTGCGTGTCCGCTTTCGCTTCTGTGGAATCCGGATAAGCCTCGATCCAGTAGTGGGAGCGTGGCACACTGCCGCCCACCTCTCAGCCCCCAAAGCTTGCTTTGACCCACCTGGGAGGTGGGCGGTTGGGAGGGAGGAAGGAAGCGAACTTCTGGATGGAAGGAAACAAAAGTGCGGATAAATCCATTTCGCGGGAGCGGTGAGTCAGCGAATAGAGAGGCTTGCGGAAGGCAGAGATTTAAGTAAGCAAAAGCCACGACTGGCGAGGTGCTGGCAGCTTTAAGAGTGATGACATTGTCCAGTCATTCGAAACGGTGCCACTCTGGCCCCAAAGGCAGCCGAGGCCGGGGTTTATTCACGGAGCCGCGGCCGTCACTCGGGGAGCCCCGAGACCCCGGCGGTGTCTCGGCTCTTCGTCCCCTCTTAGTTCGCCTCTTCTCGGAATGGAATCACCGGCCTGGAGTTTATCTTAACGGGCTCAATCGAGAACCACTCAGGGACCGTTACTAGAGCGAACAACACGCGTCGCGGTGCGGTCAGAAGCCCAGCGGAACACAAGCGCTTCTCCATCAAAAGGCGGGTGGGGGCGTGGAGGGGGAACTTCTCCCCACTTGACCCTTAAGTACTTTGCAGTTGCTCACCAGACTGCGCAGGTGCTTTTCTTTCTCCTAAGTTCTGTGTGGAAAGCTGGCGTCTGTCCGGGTGCCCAGAGTCCAGCGCGCGTCCCAGCGGCGGGCGCGTCTAGCCGAGCAGCTGCCGCAGCCGAGGGGGCTGGCTGACGCGGCTCCAGGGGCCCGTTCTCCGGGCCAGGAGGCCCCGCCCGCCCGCAGCTCCCATTCGCGTGATGGCTTCATCAGCCGGCAGTTGCAAATGGAAATGTTGGTTTCAGCAAAACAAATGTTTGCCTTTGGCCAGCGAAGCCCACCAGCAGATGCTTCTGCACACATGCGCGCTGGCACCGGGCTCTGCCCTCCGCGCCGCCCTCTGCAGCTTCCCGCTCCCGGCTGCCGGCTGGACTCGCTGTGTCGGAGCCGGAGCCTGGCTCGCTGGCCGGGTGCCGTGCCTGGCCTGCGGGGGATCCTGCAGCCCGTCCTGTCGCACCTGGGCTTCCCGGCTTCTAGATCGCGGAAGGTGTCTTGGGCCGAGCCTCGCCCAGGGTGGCGGGCGCTCTCATTTTGCTCTTAGTTTATGTTGGTGTGGGGCGGCTTTTGAGGATGATGTCAAGAAGGCGGAGGGTTGCGCCGGGCCTGGCTGCACCGGGATCAGGACGGTGAATTACGCTACCGGAACACCCTGACACTTCAGGGACGCTGGCTGCCCGCCCGGGGCGGGGAGTGCCTGCCCCCGGCCTGCTGGCCAGTGTCTCTGGGCGCAGTGGCCCCGACGGCTGACGGCTCCCGCCCAGCCTGGTGGGCTGCTGGGCTCCCCCGCAGTGGCCTCTCGTGTCTCCTGTTCCTCATCACCCGTGGGGGTGTGGTCACCCAGAGGACCGCGCTTTGGAGATTTTGCGCGTTAACAGCCCTGCCTGCTCTGTCACCCTGGGTGTGACCCCGTGCGTGGTGGTGAGGCCGCAGTCGCGTGCTGGCTCCTAGGTGTGGGAGGCCAGAAGGAAAGTTAGAGCGTCTCTACAGTTCCCGAGTCTGGGCTGCAGACACGAAAGTGCTGCTGGGTGCAGCGAGATCGAGATCGCTGCTCCTGGCCATCTGGGGGCGAGGTCACCCGGGAGCCGTGGCCATCCAGGGCACGGGGCTGCAGGCTAAAGCAGCTGGTGCCTTGGGACCCTCTCAGGGCGTGGCGTGGCCTGGTCTGGCCTGTGCCGCATCTGGCCTCACGTCCATGCCCTGTTCACCACAGAGGCGTCGTTGGGCACGGGTCCAGCCCCACCCCCTGCCGGCTGGGGGACCAGCTGGGCGGCCACGCCGAGATCTGCTTGGTCCGGCCTAGGACACGCTGCCCCCAGCCCTAGCTGGCCTGGGTGGAATCGCTTCCCGAGTTCTGAAGCTGGCATGTGGTGATCGAGAGTTTTGTTGTGTTTTTCCAGACTAGTGCCCAATTTTGCAAATCGTGTGTGCCTGCAGGACGTGCCGGGAGAACATATCCTTGTGTGCTTAACTCATTGTTGATAATGAGCCACCCAATCAGGTCGTAAGTGGCCGCGGCCTCTCGGAAAGCTAATTGCTGATGGACGGCGGCCGCCAGATCCCTTCTCAGATGTTGGTTTTCCGAATTCTGGCCTTTTAAAACTCTTGGGTTGGGCGCAGCCGTAGGCTGATAAGCCTGTTGGGTCCCGGGATTGGCTGAACATCTATTTGTGGAGCAAATGCCAGCGTGGACAGACATGCTAATCTTCCCATTGAGCTTGCTTTTTGTTTAAATGTCTCCAGTTACGGACAGACGGACGGAGACCCACAGAAGCAGAAACATTCCCCCCTCTCTCCCCGCGCCCCCAGCACCAGCTTCGCCATGGCTTCCGGCTTCCTCCTCAGGCCTCCAGGGGAGGTGCTGTGCCATTTCATTGAATTCTGTTTTTTACGGTAGGAAGATATTTTTATAAAGTTGCAAAGTAAAAAATGCGAAGCCGTCCCCAGTGATTAAATTCTAGTGGTTCTTTTACGTTGAACCCATTCTGCTGCTCTTAGCACTGATCGTGCGCCTGGCAGCTGGCAAATTTGGGAAGGAAATACTCCTAATAATGCTCCATTACCCTCGTGCCAGCGCTGAAGGTGCTTTCCTTTTCGCATCTGTGATCGCATCCGAGCGGTGATTATTCTGAGCCGAGAGCGAGCAGGCGGCGCCTCGTCTGTGGTTTAACGACGCCAGCGGACGTCGGCCGGACGTGGCCGCTCGCCCCTGAGGTCCGTGGAGCGCCCCGAGGCCCTGGGGCTCGCGTGGTTGCAAAGGGCATCGGCCTGGCTTGTCCGCAGGGCGGAGAGCGTTGGGACGGAGGGCGGCGGCGCCTCCCTGCCGTAGGCTCGGCCGTGTTTGTTGAGAAGTGAACGTCGCCGCAGAGGCCGCCAGCAAGTTTTCGAGTCCTTTCTCCCAGCCAGCTTCTCGCTCTTCTTGAACTTGGCTGTGCCGCTCCAGTGCGCATCTGCTGGTAGTAACCAGACTGCTAATTGCAGGCAGCCTCCCAGCCCGGCGCTGCCAGGCCATCTGTTTCCTCGCCGTGCAGCAGCGCGTTGGAGGCTGGGTCTTAATTGTTTCTTTAAGATTCAAAATGTCCCCATTTTTCACAGGGCTGTGTGAGGAGAACGGTTAAAAAAAGTCATCGCTCCCAGGAGGCCGCGGCGTAGCGCTGCGTGCCGGCAGCG